TACAGCCCTGTCTCCTCCATTAACTGGTCAGCTCCCTGAAGACAGGTGCCCAGCTGTGTCTTCCCAGACTCAGTGCTCTGCATATACAAGGAATATACTCTGTTACTTGAACAAATTAACATATCTTCACATAGAGCAGGGACCTGAAATTAAGGGTATAGGCTTTTCCACTTGCTGGCTGTGACTTTGGGCAAATCACTTAAACACTTTAGGGCACAATTTTATGCTCTGTAAAGTGAGAGTAATAAAATACCTGCTTAACAAGGGAGCTTCGAGAATTTAGTTAGATTCTCCACATTAAAAATATTTAGCCCTGGGGCTGGCCCAGTGGCGTGGTAGTGGTGGTTAAGTTCACGTGCTCTGCTTCTGTGGCCTGGGGTTCACAGGTTCGGATCCTGGGTGCAGACCTACTCACTGCTTAACAAGCCATGCTGTGGCAGGCATCCCACATATAAAGTAGAGGAAGATGGACACGGATGTTAGCCCAGGGCCAATCTTCCTCAGCAAAAATGAGGAGGGTTGACAACAGATGTCAGCTCAGGGTTAATCTTCCTCACCAAAAAAAAAAAATTTAGCCCTAAATTACCACAAGCAATATGAGCTCAAAGAATGTTTATCTAAGATAATAACGATGAGTTATTAGCAGAGTTATTGTTATTATTGCCATTTGCCCCTGAGTTTTTTCTCCTTGTAGTCAGTGATTTCTATTCTGTCAGGTAAGAACATGAGGCAAAGACCCAGCTGCCTCTTCACTCTACCACACGCCAAGAGTCACACCCAAGAGCCTCATGCCCTCGGGCCAATTGATTACACTTGTCTCTTGGATGTTTCTCTGTGGTTTTCCTAATACACGCCTCAGGAGGACTGATAGAGTTGGCTAGATATTGTAGCCTATGCCTCCTGGCTGATTAGAATCTTCCATACCTGGGAGTTGCTGCAGAGGTGTGTCAAGCCCTCATGTCCCATTATGAGCTCTCGTTGGCTCCCTTTACTACATATTGTTCTCTGTGGTTTTTATTTTAGCCTGTATGCCAGGGGGAAAGAAAAGTTCTATAGTGCAAGAATAAAGATTCTGAGAGAGAGCTGAAGAAGAGGGGCTTTCAAAGGTGTAAAACAATGTGGTAATTCTTCTCTAGGCCCTGTGTGTTACAGTTTAATTCTCCTCCTGAAAAACAAGTTCAAGAGGATCTCTCTGGAAAGCTCTGTGAGGCCTCACCACTCCCCAGGGAAAAGCTGATTCTAAGGCCAAGGTGCCACTTTCCATAGGGAAGGGCAATGTTTGAACTTGACACTCAAACACTGGGCTGCTGACGGTCAGGCTAGAATGCAGATGGGACCTTCTCTCACCGTCCTGTGCAGCAACACTCACTCCCTTGCCCCACCTTTCTGCTAGAACACGCCGCCTCGTTTGCCACCCTCTGAGAGATTTGTCTGACAGTTTGGACACAAGATCACGTTTTATTTGAATATTGATCCGCTTTTCTGTGACCCAGGGAATATTTATTGAATGCTTGTTATATGTCAGACGCTTTACTAAAAAGTTTGCATCTCTTATCTCATTAATCCTAAAATACTGTGAGATAGTTATCATTACTCCCATTTCACAGATGAGAAAACTGAGGCTTAGCAAAGGCAATGATTTGCCAAAGAATAGAGTCAGTAAGTGGTGGAGAGGAGAAGAGGTCCGTTAATAATAATCTCTAACTTTACTTGAAGCTTTTTAAAAGTGAGCAAGACTCTTCTAATAACTTGGTTTCTATAACAAAGTATGTGGTGAGGTATGCAAACAGGCATAAGATGTGGAAGAAGGGATTTCTAATAAAAAATCAAGTTTTTCTTATAAATAACCAACTCTATATAGCAACTCCTTCTCTTTCTCTCTGTCTCTCTCTATATTGCATGTGTACAGACAGTCCCAGACCTATGATGATTCGACATAACGATGGTGCGAAAGCGACACGCATTCAGTAGAAACCGCGCTTGGAATCTTGAACTGTGCTCTTTTCCCAGGCTAGCAATATGCGGTCCGATCCTCTCTTGTGATGCTGGGCAGCAAAGGAAAGTGCAGCTCCCCATCAGCCCTGCGATCACAAGGGTGAACAACCGATGCACTGACAACCCTTCTGTCCCCACACAGCCCTTCTGTCTCACTTTCAGTAAAGTATTCAGCAAGTTAGATGAGAAAGTCAACGCTTTATTGTAAAATAGGCTTTGTGTTAGATGATTTGGCTAACGTAAGCATTCTGAGCACGTTGAAGGCAGCTCGGCTGAGCTACCATGTTCGGTAGGTTGTGTTTATTAAATACATTTTCAACTTAGAATATTTTCAGCTGACGAGGGGTTTATCGGGACGTAACCCCGCTGGAAGTCAAGGAAGATCTGTATATACATACACACATACATAGTAGAGCGTAATAGAACACAGATTTTGAGTCCGAAGCCTGAGATCCAATCTTGGTCCTGCCATCAATGAGGGAAAGTTACTAAACCTCCCCTGCCCCTGGGTGTCTTCATTTGGAAAATAAATGGTTAAATTAAGTCAGTGGTTCCCGTATATTTGCCTGTGAGGTAGTTTTCATCAGTCTGTGGTGAAATGAGAAAAATAAGAACAACAGACATATTCGTATAAATTCATTTACTTTATAAATCTGTTAAAATGGCTTGCTTTTATGAACAATGGAAATTTTTTCCCCTTTTGACATCCTCACACAGCAAAATTCAAGCATGCCTTCCAAAATGGAACTCTGATATTTTATATATATATGTATTTTTACTGGTCCTTAAATCCAAAGGTCTGGGAACCACTAGACTAGGTGATCACTAGTGTCCTTTCTAGATCCAAAATTCTACCCTTTTCTTAAAATCACAAATGATATTTAACTAACTATAAGATAGAAAGGAAAAAGAAGAAAAAGTTTTTATCCCTTTTTTTCTTGTTTAGCTCAGCATTTCCCCAAATGTGTTCTGTGAAAGACAAGCCCTGAGCAAGATATTATAGCTGTTCCACTAGAAAAAGGATTCTTAGTCAAACTGAGCTTGGGAAACAACAGGTTAAAAAAGTGAGATGGGTTTCTTAATCAAGAAATTTTCAGAACCTGTAAAATTCTCACATCTATTGTGACTCCCCAAAAGCAGACAAAGCATGAATGCTCCCCAAGTTATGGGTGGGGAGCAGATGCCTGCCCCAACCCCCTTTAGAGAACAGTACACTTGTTCCTGGAACACAATTTGAGAAAGGTTACTTCGGCTAAAAGAAAGTTCTTCAGTAGCTTCCATAATAAAGGAAAAACATAGCATTAGAGACAAGAGGACTTGCCATTTATTTCATAATATAATTATTTTAATTTGACAGGTTTTTTCCAAATTACCAGGACTATGGATATTTTCAAAAATTGCCAAAGAAACCTGGATGAAAATACTTCAGATTAAAGTGCAATGTACTAGACAAAAGTTTTGTGGCCATCTTTGACAATGTTTTTTTTTTTTACCATACAAAATAAAGGAAATTTGCATCCAGAGATTTGTATCCAGTGATTGCAACACAATAATTAAAGCACTTGGAATTTGCAGCAGTCTGCAGTAAGAAAATTATTGCTATCATTCCTACACAGTGAATACAAAGTAAAATAAAACCATCTGTAGGTATGGAGACTGAGAAAACCCCCAGACTCCTCTGAAATGGTGCCTTTGTTAAATATTTCAGCAGGAGGAACAATTAATTCTGAATGCCTGTGGCTCATAATTGATTTATTTAAACACTTTTACTATGATCAAGAAACAAAATTCTTGAAAGAAGAAAAAGATCTAATAGTGTGTTTTTATTGTTCTTTGCATAATTATCTGATCAGAGTTGAGAAGGTTTACTTAGCCTTTTTTATTTCTTTGTACATCACCATGTGAAATATCAACTAGCCAAACCCTTCAGCCTTCCCATTCTGGATTCAAGTTTCACTTAACACACAGAGGAAAGAACAGTTTTTACTTAGGACAAGATGATCTTGGAGCAAATTCTCCAGAGGGAGGACTCAGGAGGGATCTTTCGGATATTCTGACACTAACAACCTTTCTTTCCAACTCTATGCACACCAGGTTTCTGACAAGCCTGTGGCTCTGCATTACCTCCAATATTTTCCATGATAACTGTAGAGTAATTTCCAGCCTGTTTTTCGTAATCCTGCTGACTACAGCAGTCTGCAACCATAAAAAGCCTTCACAGACCTGGTGTTGGCTTAAAAAACTGCCTCTCCAAAGGAGCAAAAAAGTACATGCAGCATTTATGTTCAAAGACAGGAGGGAGGCAAGCTCTTGCTTGGGTGATGATGGGGTCAAGAGATGGTTTTTAGGGTCTTAATTCAGAAATTTTGATTTTCTTCTGATGACATTTGTATACAAAATGCCAACACTAAAATGAGAGCAATCTAGCCAGCAAAAGGGGGAGTGTCCTGTCCGGGAGATCAAACCTTCTTCCAAACTCCACTGGAGAGAAGAGGCTAGGAATTAGCACATGACCCAGCTTTGGCGTGCCCTGCCTAGAATCCTTCAACCTCAAAGTTAATAGGTACCTGTGAGGATTACATCAAAGATTCAAGCTTTCAGAATTAGCTTCTTTTAAACCTTAAGCTAGTACTGGTTTAGTCTCTGCGGAGGGGGATAAAAACACTAAACAACTCTTTTTAACAGACTACAATACCCATCTATACAATATGATTCAATATATAAATACCATAGTTTGAAACTATACCATTTAAACTACTGTGAACATCTGATAAACCTAATAAGAAGTTGGTTTTCATTTTTGCAATAAAGAGATCTAATTGAAAAGTAAATAACAGAGGGGAAAAAGGTAAAAGTTTAAGCAACTTGCACATTTGAACTTTGATTCTCCACAGAATAACTCTATTCCCCCCATCTGGTAAAGCAGATCACATTTAATATCAACATTTAAAAACCAGTATCTCTTAAAAATTATTTTTAAAACACAAAACATTAGAGCTACTTGCCTTTTGGCAATTTCTGTGCATTTCCCAGGGCTAGTGCAATACTTCCACAGAGAAGTAGACACCCCAAGCTGGAGAGCATGTTGCATTTGCCACCTCGCACAGGGAGTGATGCTGGTGGGTGTCCCGCAGCCCTGGAGCTGCATTTAAGTGAACTGTCTCCCAGTGACAGAGGCGGGCGGCTGCACTTAGCCGTGCCGCGGGCTCACTCACAGGGGGTGGAGACAAAATGACATCACACCCTTTCCCACATACACCAAAAAAAAAAGGCACAACAGCAAAAACACATCATCATATTTCCCTCTGCTAGGTTGTAATGGTCTGTCTCTTCTCTTCCCTCTGTGATATAAAGATTGAAATTATGGCCAATGTATGCTTGTGAAAGATAAAGTATTTATGTAATTTTGAAACATGTGATGAACTATTTTTAAAATCCAGCAAAGACATACTTAAAACTATTGGAAAGTTAAAAATATAAAATGAAACCTTATTAGGAAGGAAACTGTTTTTAATTATCTAGTAAACCAATCCAACTCTTCTTTCAAATGGGAGTAAACTCATAAAAATACTTTGAACCATTCTGAAGTTCCAATATTATGAGAAACTTTTAAGAGTAAGTTATTGGCTACGCAGCTATTCGTTATATATGATACACGAGAGTACATACACATTACACACACAGACACACACAGACAGATATTCTGTAGATACGGATGTAGAGATACAGACAGACACTGTCACTAATTGATCTCCAGCTCTGGGTCAGGCTCTGTGACAGCGCCTCTACCTGCATTATTCCACTTTAATCCTCACAGTGACTGTGCAGGAGACACAGGGTTACCCTCATTAGAAAAACTGAGGCTCAGGGAGGTTCAGTCTCCTGAGCAAGCCAGGGTATTCTAAGGGTTAATAATTTGGATGGGTTTTGGAGTAGAACGGCCTAGGGTTTAAATTTGGATGCTATGTGCCTCTGAACCAATTCTCCATCTACATATCATCAACATTGGTTACATTTAAGTGCTTGCTCCATGCCAGGCACTGATCTGATCCAGTCACATATATTAACACATTTAGTCCTCAAAGTAAGCTAGGAGGCAGTCATTGTCATCATCCCCATTTTACAGATAGAGAAACTGGGCTTAGAGAGGGTAAGGGAAAAGCCCGAGGCCACAGTGCTAGTAAGCAGCAGAGCTGGCTCTCATCAGGCAATTTAACCCCAGAGCTTCCACTCTTAATTACTAAATTTTAAATTCTGAAATAGAGATGATAGCACCAATTTCATAAATTTGCTAGCAAGATTTTTAGACAGTACTTCCCATAGCACCTGACAGATAGGAAGCATGTAATAAATGACAGTCACTGAAAACAACAGCGATGACAATAATAAATCCCCAACTAAGTAGAACTATGATTCTAACCCGAGTTTACCTCTCTCCAAAGCCCATGTGTATCCTCTCTCCCTCTGCATCATGTTGCCCCAAATATAGGCACTGCTGGAAGGCCTGTGTTAATGAAGTACTTTAAACGTTGTCTGTACGTTTACAGTGACTCTGAAAATAGCTGATTTCATGGGGTTGCTGTAGCTGAAGGAAAACAGCAAGAGGGAAACGGAATAACTCTGGTCAAATGACATTCTAGTCAAAAAACTTACCAAAAGAAAAAAGAAAAACTGAGGCAACAGCCCCGTCTTCCAAATAAAGCGTGAGAAGGCACATTGTTAAAGTCATTTAGAGCTGGCCGGGGCTAAGCTTTCACCGTAGGAATGCTCTGGCACTGGCTGCGGAGGGGATTGGGTTATTTAACAGGTCTTTTTCATCTCTGATTTTTCACTTGAATAGGCAGCTCTCTCAAACCCGAGTTTGGACAGTCATCCATCTGGCACTGCTGATTCTGCTTCTATACTCCACTCCCATCAAGCTAAGCCAGTGAGGCCACTGTGCTAGCAGGAAATGACAGGTTTTCTGAGTGGGGAAAAAACAGCAGAAATATTGAAAAGAAGGCTGTTCTTCCAAACAGTGTGAGGGGCTGGTCTGAGGGTTAGGTAATGGAATCCAGGACTCAGTCTCTGCTTGGCCCGCAGGCTAAGTCCCGTCTACGTTAGCAATCCTTAGTTGCAATTTGGGACTGGGGCTAATTAAATAAAGGCCAATCTCCTATTATTTTGTCAGAAAAAAGATGGTTGCCTTCCCTTAGCTAGTGGGATAATGAGCACTGAGTGAAGACGCTGGGAAAATTAGAGCTCTACTCAGACCAGGGCGGAGGCACGACCTAAAGAAATGGACCATGTCAGAGGAGGCATTTCACCTTCTCAACAAACAAAAAGTTTTCTGTCGTGTCAGAGTCCCAACCCAAACTGGAGGTGGACAAATACTCCAGACAGTAAGTGCCTTGTTCCATGGAATAAAACTTCAGGGCAGTGGGCATGTAATCACTGGAAGATTTAAGGCCATTTTCAGGGAAGAATTACCGTCTGACCATGGGTACATTGGAGACGATGACTGTGGAGTAATTTGCACATCCCTGTTAGGTTTCTTAGCTGTCACGAGAGAATGCCAACACTAAGCCCAGGTTCAAATGCCTCTGCAGGCACTTGTGTCTGTATTTACCGGGAAATATAGTAATGTAAAGCTCCATTACTTACGAGATTGTAGAATATTGAATTAATTGTCACCAATATCTGTGAAAAGCCTAGTTTTACACATTTATGCAAACCCGTAGAATGTGCAACACCAAGAGTGAAACTTAATGTAAACTATGGACTCTGGATGATAACGATGTGTCAACGTAGGTTCATCAATTGTAACAAAGGTACCACTCTGATGGGGGATGTTGCTAATGGGGAGGGCGGGGAGTATATGGTACATGTCCACATGTGTAGGGGCAGGCAGTAGGTATTTAGGAAATCTCTGTATCTTCCCCTCAATATTTCTGGGAACCTAAAACTGCTCTAAAAAATTCTATTAAAAAAATCCTTCTTGAGACAACGTTTAGGAAGAACTGCTGGAAAAACTCATAAAGTATATTTGTATTTCCTCTCTGTTCTGAGAAGGCAGGGACCATGCCAGCCCATTTTGCTTATCACTGTACCTGGTGCCTGGAATATGATAAGAATGCAATAAGTATCTGATGAGTAAGTGTCAAATGAAGCACAATCCATCAATTCCTCCAGATAGTCTAAAGGTTAGTTCTAGATCAAGCCAGAGAAAGCTAGCCTATGACTGGAATGTACAGTCTTTGGAAGACCGTTCTCCAAGGGACCCTCATGTTTCTGCACATCTTATGAGCAGAGGTACTGATTCCCTGTGCTCAAGACTATCTTTTCAGGATTGAGTGTATAGCAAACAGCCTTGGAAGACAGACATTTGTTTACTGTCCAATATGATAAAGGTAACGTCTCCCTCTGGGACAAAGGGAACACACGCTCCCTTCCTCTTATCAAAGGTTCCAGTTCCCTAAACTCAGGGCTCCTTTCCTGTAATACAACCCACAGCATGTGTAGGTATCACCTGCTCCTCTTTGGGTTGCTCTGTGGGAACTGGGGCTCCCAGAACCAGCACAAATGCTGACAGTCAGGCCACTGCTATCGCTGTGAGTAAATAGACTGTCCTTTGTCTTGGACCCAGGAATCTTGCGTCTCCTGCCAGCATCCATGAACTGTGTGTGTTACCTTGCACATATGGTAAAATCTCAACCCTTCACAGTTCTTGACTTTAGGATCGGCCCCCTCCAAAATATTTTATTAGATCATCTTTGGTGTAATGCCATCACCTACATTCAAATCCTCTATAAGAATCAGCCATGAAACTCTCTACTGTGCACAGCAAGAGTGTTGCTAGACTTTGCTTATTAAACCATGTAGTATCCTCTTTATAAATACCCTGGAGAAAAACCTCTGACAGTTCTTTATGTCAGAAAAAAAAGGATTGTAATTTTTCCTGAGCAACAACTGTATTTATTTTGTGACATTGTAACTAGGTTTCTCTTTCTGTGTTGACTGCTGGAAAACCAGAGCCAAATGTGTCCCCCACCCGTAAGAAGTGTGTAGGTCTTTGTGGTGTGCATGTTTTGGCATCATTCCTGGCTTTACTTTTCATCCCCACCCTTATTTCTTGCTTATTTTGCTTGGAGTCTTAATTTATGTGGTTTTGTAAATTGCTTGCATTTTTTTCTGGAACAAGGTGAGGTATAAACAAGCTCAACACACAGGAGCCATGTCAACAGTATGTGTCAAAATACATGAAGCGGGAATCCAGGAGCCTGTTCTCTGCTCTCTTTTTCTACATAACAGAAGACTCTGATGGAATTCTGGGACAACGATTGTGTGGCCTCATCTCTTTGTATATATTTTCTCCTTGGGAAAGTAGGTAAAGGGCAGGAGGACGTCCAGAACACTGCTCCACATGCATATCACATTTTTTAGTCGTTTCACATTTGGCTTTTTAAATGTTCAGCATTAATTCCACTATTTCAGATGAGACTTCCACTAAAACTCATAAATCTTTCAAATCTTGGACCTATCAGTTCACATTTTTGAGTCTGTCGTATATAAGGTCCTATGCTAGGAGATTCAAAAAGGCTTATTATCTATAATCAATAATATGCAAAGATATGTTATGGTTTTCTAGGGGATGCTCATAAAAATAATTTTTATTATGACTCATATTTGAAAGGGGAAACTCAGTGTTCCATGCTTTCAGCCCAAATGTTGTTTCTGTAATTACTGTACTGAACTAGACCCAATTGGATAAGGATCCTACTCCATTGGGGGTACATTTGACCAGAGCATGAAGTTCTCTTCCACAATGTTTTCTACAGCACAGGGAAGTACTGCCCCTTAAATGCCTATGTGATATTTGCAGATCATTCTTCAGTCTGTCTAAAGGCATCTTGACCTATAGATTTTTGGCTTCATAACCTTGAGGTGCTTAACAACTTATGCTTATAAAGAGTGTAAAGAGTCCCTTCTTTCTATTAGGCTAGAAACAAGCTCCTTTAAGACCTAAGTTATACATCTCTGAGCTGTGAGGTTTGCCTTCCTTTTTTCGCCTAAATTTTCCTTTCTTTGTGGAGGTGCTGAGTGCCGCACTGGGCTTGTGCAGGTGGAGGGACTATTTCTTACCTAAATTTCAAACAATGTAGGAATCAAGGGAGTCAAGTGCTGAGAGGGAAATATAAGCTAGTAGACCAGAGAAGGGCCTCTGGGCAGGAGGATGTGTCAGTCAGAGAACAGCACCAGGGAGTCCGAGAGCATGGGCAAGCAGGGGCCCAGTGGCAGGTGGGGTGAGGAGGACAGTGGTCCTGGGAATGTGCCCCAGTCAGGACCTTGGCCAGCAGGCTGACTTTTACACATTATTGCCTGTGGTATTCGGGAAGCCTGACGTGTTTTAAAGGCTGGGATGCTACAGCCATGATCATGGCCTCCTAAATGACAGAGCCCAGATCTTCTTAGTTTATTGTTTAATGGAAGTGACACTTCTCTGGATACTTTCCAACTTTGTTGCATTGTTTTTGGGTGTGACAACCAGGCTGCAAGCAGAGTTAATTAAATGCTTTAAGGTATTGCAAAACTGAGGTTGAGAATTACATCATGTAATAATGTCTCTAATGAGATAATAAATAGAAACAAGGAAATGAAAAAGAAGGACTCCTTTGAAGCAAATTTGAGAGCACAGCTCCCTCATATGAGAGACATTCATGGGTCCTTTTGGCTATAGCTACCTGCTGAAATGAAGTATAGAACAGTATTCCAAAGGGAGAGACACATTCTAAATCCAATTAGAAACATACACCCTG